CCAGTTACCATTCTTTCTTAGGTGTTCTTGATCACAGAATGTCAAGTAATGTTTCCTCAATATTTTATCAAATAACTGCAGCAGATTTCATCTTACTTCTTTTCTAACAACTCTCCTTCCTTGTTTGTTTCTGATTTTTTCCTCCTCAAAAATAGCTCTCCAGATGAGTTGTGCTCAGTGATGACAGGGACAGTATTATTGTGTTTGAAACTTTGGGAATCCCCACAGGTTCCCGTGCTGCTCTTCTGCACTGCAGTGTCTCTGGGCAAAGCTCAAAGGTGTTTTCCAAACCACGTGTAAATTATGACGCAGTTTGTTTTGATGTTTCCACCTTGAAAACCTGCTTAGCACTTGTACAGAGATGCACTAGTATGAACTCATGAGATGAGATACTAGATGTACATGAGAACACTAACACCTGGGAACTAAGTAACACTGAACAGACTTTTTCTGTCTAAACAGAGGAAAATAAAATAGCTTACAGTCTTTTAAAAACTTGGAACCAAGAAAAGCTCCTTTTGGGAGCCCTCCATCGATACAGTATTGGGGCTGTGTTGCTTAACTGTAGCATCTTGTAGCTGTGCTCTTCCTTAGCACATAACAGTTTTTCCTGCTGTTTTGAGGCGAAGCCATGGAACAAGGTTTACGGGACTGCTGTAGATCAATCCGCATCGGAAAGATCCTCATACAGAGCGACGAGGAAACTCAGAGAGCAAAAGTGTACTATGCTAAGTTTCCACCAGACATTTACAGGAGAAAAGTTCTTCTTATGTACCCAATACTAAGTAAGTATCCGCGTTATGTATGGCTGGGCTTGCCTGAGCAGCGACGGTTCTGTATTTTAAAGAAAGTTTCTGAATTTCAGGGGCTTTTATTGTAGTGTGGTTTGATTTAGGTGACAGAGCAGGGATTTGGTCGGCCTGCATTAACGTGACTGCAGAAATCAGTTGGGTACGGCTGAGTGGGAGAAAGGCTGATGCATTACAGTCTGATGGCAACATTTAGAAAACTCAATTTCTGTGAGAAAAGATTCCTTACAGTATTTTTGTTACACTATTAAAAGAGTTTTTTGATGAATACTCTAATTCTAAATTATTTTAAAATTAAATGCAATTAAAAATGTATCAGGACATCATCAGGATGAAGTAACTTTTCCAGTTTAAGATATAATTCTGTTCGTGCACACGGAGCTCTTAATTGCTATTTTAGATGAGTGTTCCTGCCTCAGGGCTCTAATAAAATCCACTGACTTCAGCATTTAAGACCCGGTACAGTCAGTTATTTTAATGTAGAGATGAAGTTCCTTTGTCAGGAGACCAAAGTCTTCTATAATTAGTGCTTGTGAAGTGATCTGGTCGCCCAGTGGGAAAGGACAGCATCTGCACTCAGCCACACACCAGCACTAATGCAGACAACTAACCTCAGCTGGCTTAGGGTGAGTGCTTCAAACAGGAGAAAATCTTCCTTTTTCTTCTTTTAGGTACTGGTAATACTGTAATTGAGGCTGTAAAAGTTCTTATAGAACATGGCGTACAACCAAGTGTCATTATCCTGCTAAGCCTATTCTCCACACCTCACGGTAAGTTGAGGGGCTGTGAGGGGCAGAAGAGGGAGAACAGGTACATTTAAGTGAGGATTCCTAAAGCCTGTGCATTCCTACAAGCACAGACTGCAGCACTGCCACCAGGTAATGCAAACCTTCCTGCTGCTCTAAAGCACAGGAGCCCACGGATTGCATTGGGCTGGTCTGCCAGCTGTTTGTGTGAAGTAGGAACATGGATCTTGTGGGTCCTCCTAAAAATTGGCCACGGCAGAGATTGCTATCAAAAATCAACTGCGCTGTAACCACAGTGGTGATCAGATTGGAAGTTACATGTGTGGTAAAGAAGATTAAAATCAAATAAGAAAACCCAGAACAGTGCACAGCATTTTGCAATTGTAGGCAGTCAGCGAAGGCAGAAATGAGACGGAAGAACAGAGGCAGAGCCATCCACACAATTCTGCTTATCATGATTTAACAGGTGGGGCTGAAATACAGCTGTAGTGCCACGTTCATTACTGCCTTTCTCTTTCTCTCAAAAGGTGCCAAATCTATTATCCAGGAATTCCCAGAGATCACAATTTTAACTACAGAAGTTCATCCAGTTGCACCAACACACTTTGGACAGAAGTATTTTGGAACGGACTGACACACTTGGAACAAACTGATAATGACTGTATGATATTACATAAGAGGTTTTGGGGTATTTTTTTTTTCTACATTTTATTATTATTTCTAGCAGAGTTGGTTGAGGGCACGTTTAAAAATCTCTTTGGCCAAAGGGGGAAATACTTGACCTAGATTACTTCTTGTTGGTTACTGCTCCAACACAGAACCAAGTGCAGTAACAAACACCAAATCATGGCAAAGTCAAGCATCTTCATGTTGTACTTGCATAAACTGCTACACTCTCTGCTTTAATTTATTTATTCTTCTATAGCCTGTTTTGTGGCTGCTTGCAAGAGCAAAATAAAACAATTATGTGATCAAGGTGTACGCTTCGTTCTAGTGCTGATGTTTCCATCGCTCCAGGTTGGCCAGCACAGCCACTCTCATTACTTGAGAATGATGGGTGCACTTGGAACTCACTGTAATCTTTAGCAGCCACGTTGCACTCCTGGCAGTTTTCATTTGGATGGTGGCCAAAACTAAAAGATAAACACCTCTGAATTTTGATCTCTGTGTATTACTTTCAGAAGTAGGACATCTGCAGCTGTCTTGATCAGTGGTACTGAAATAATAATCTTCCTGTTGCTGTCCGTGTGCCCTGTCTGCAAATGAGGTGGGAATTAAGAATGGGAGAAGCACTATTTACAGAAATTCTACTTCTACGGTGCTGAAGTTTTTCTTCTTAAAACATCTGTGGTTCAGTCTGTCTCACCAACCCTTCTACAGAAATGTGAACTGGCAAAAAGTTGGGTTCAGAGAGCAGCAGGGCTCAAAGTCAAAAGAGAGATGCGGCCCCCTTTGATTTGCACTCTTCCAAAACATTCAGGGCAGGCTGTATGAATCAGATTAGACATTCATCTATTTGCCAACTCTGTCCTTCTGATCTGTGGCAGTAAGCACAAAATATGCAGCAAGTCAACTAGCTAGCATCTCATTTTAATCTAACTTTGAAAAACGGACAGATCAAAACAACACAGTCTGTTACTCCTGTTACAAATGTCCATCTTCTAGGAAATGCAGGATTATACTGCGCCCTCACAAGCCCATCACAAGCAGGTGCTTCTTACTTCTTGTCAAATGGCTGAAGGTAAGCATCCCACTGAGTGGCCTGGCTGCTCCAAACAGCGCTGCTAAGACAAGGAGGCAGGATTCTCTGAATCCTTTTCTTGGTACAAATGAGCCTTCTCTACTCAATAATAATTCCAGTTAATTAAAGTTGTGTAAGGCTTCCAGAGATAGCCAGTGCTCGAGGGAAAACATTGTAAGACCTAGGAAATAAGAATTCACAAGTATAATAAATTAACCAAAAATGGTTTTAATGCAGTCCTTGCCTGCGATACAGTATAAACCATGCAGGCTTTCTAGTATAAACCATAATAGAAAATGACAAAGCAGAATGTACAGTACATTCACCTGTAGAAACCATACAAACACGTGGAAAATGCTAGTGAAACATACACAAAACAATCATATTAAAGACATTTGTTGGACAGTAAAAACAAGTATCCAAAGCTTTTGTAAAAACCCCTTTGATATCAAAAGTATCAATGCTGGCAACAGCATTAAACTCCTGAACTCTACACTAAACATCCACATGCTGCCAGCAGGCTGTTTGCAACGTTCCCTGGAAAACATTTGCTTTCTACAAAATTAAGGGATCAAACCACAAAGCTCTGAGTGTCATTCCATTATTGAACAGAATAGTGTTAGCTATGCAGATCTTACAGGCTCAGGATTTTTATAAATACCAACACCAGGCCATACTGGTTACCTCCCAAGCAACTGAAAGCAATAAATCAATAAAAGGAAGTTTATTATACTGTTCCAAATAATTCAGCAGCTATTGGCACAGAGCCCAAGAAGCCAGTTGTCCTTGATGTGAAAAGCTCTCTACACTACAGTGGTTTACAGAGAAAGCTCTGGCCCAGCTGAAGAGGTAGTATCTTGGCTCTCAAATGGAGCTGACTAAGTCCCAAAGCAGCTGTAGGTTCGTGTCCTGCTTCACGCAAGGTTTCCGACCAAATCAAAACCATCCATTGACACTAATGAGCCAAACTGCTTTATTTTAAAGCAACATAAAAACAGCTTCTAATGCTGAATTCTAACATACAGAGATTTGAAATCTAATCCTGAGAGTTAATTAAGTTTTATCTTTGAGTTACCCATTTTCAAATCAGACAAATGATTCCCAGCTGAAGAGCAGCTGAACAGAAAGAGTAATTTACAGCAACTTCTCTGTTTTCTATGTTAGTAGCCAGAGGGAAGCTGGGACAGGGAGCACTGGAGGCTCTCAGCTCCAACACTGCAATCCCAAATCAGTTGGAATAGCTCAGGTTGAGACATGTATCAGTGTGCACAACAGTCCCACCTACCTCCTCACGTAACCTCTGAGCCAGAAATACCTCCTCTGCTCCTGCCTGGAGGCCACATCCACACCAACCCAGGAGCTTCATTACATCAGCACGATGTCAGATGCTGATACAAGAATCTGATGCTTGTGCACATCCTGGGTCCTCCAGGAACAGGCAGGGAAAAGAAAATAGGCCAACGTTTTCAAAAAACCATGGAATCTCATTTCTCTTAGAGAGGAGAGTGGTGATCTGAGGAGTGCAGCACACAGCTCCAGTTCAGAAAGGAGACAGAGAGGACAAACACATTTTTTCCTCCCTGCGCTTCCTGTAGACCCAGCAAGAAGTTTAAGCCCAATAAGTCCTGAGATGACAGAAATGCCAGCAGGTGTAACACCTCTGATTTACATCAGCTGTTTGATATTAGCATTTGATGCAACCAATTGTGTTTGTTTGTTTTTTTAAGCACAGTTGAAATAAGAACCAAGGATGATCCCTTTATCCTTTTTTTTTTCTTAACAGAAACCTACTTTTTTTTTTTTTTTTTTGAATAAAACAGTGGTTGTTATTCACTAAAGCTTTAGCAAATACTGCTGTAAATCCTAAAACCTTATGCAGAAAAAATACACATTTCAAGCAGCATGAAGGCATAACCAGCTTATGTGCTCATACTAGAAAAGTAAACTTACATTTTACTTCATATGGTTTACAATTCAAATGGAAGCTACAAAACAAAGATTTTTAGGAAACAGCGAAGCAGTGCAGAAAGTTGCTCTGAGCAAAGCAAGCTGAACACAAGGAATCACAAATCAGTCCCTGACGAACATGAAGATTATTACAAATAAAATACACGGCCCAGCTGTTCAAAGTGACACCACTCCCCTTGTTAGTATCCAAACAAAACCGCATGAACAGCTGAAAGCTGAGATATTTCAACTACATATTCAGGAGGAAGAGCAAAAGGGAAAAGAGAAGAAGTAGAGCAAGAACAAAACTAAGGGCAGGCACAGTTCTCAATGTTAATTACCAGAAAAGGAAATAAGCGTTAAGCAGGAAGGGTACATCATAATGCCACAGCCTGGACATGCTCATCACAGCCCAACTGTTTGACAGGCCGTTACTTTAATGAAAAAAGCCACTCTACCATGGAGATGCTTTAATTGGTGGCTTCAGAACAAGTGCTTTGTAACAAAACAGAAGCTGACAGAATTGGAAAAATATCAATAAAATCAAGCTATTTTCAAGTAGTATGGATCAATTTTGAAACTTTGTACCAGAAGAGTCACGGAAATGAAAATGTGACTCTGAGTTAATTAATTCTGGCTTAATAAACAACATCAACAGTACCTCCTTAGCCTGCTAATTCAACACTCTCATGATTGAGCCAGCTATGCAAACAGCAAATCTGTGCTGCTGGCTTATCGACTGCATCGGAGGCAGCTGGTCCCTGAATGCATTGCAACACATCTTCCTTTATATCTAACTAGGGGGAAGAAAAGGTTAGTTTCTACTTTTCCCTGACATTTTACATTCATATTATGTTACAGAGTTTACACATTAAGTTTTGTAACTAACTACTAAGTTGTGCTTTCAGTCCAGCATACAGAATATAAAAACTACAGCTCTTACAGATTTTGCTGAATCACACTTCTGGCTTGTTCCAGGAAGTAAACATTCATTGCTGTAGTGCTATTAAAAAGCTTCCCGGCCCCATCAGCTACAATACACTACATGCACTAGTACAGCTTACTAACACAAACAGTACTACTCCTTGATCAGAGGAATACAACCATCTTCTACTCCAAAAACACTGTTCTGATTCAGCAAGAGAAAAAAGGTGCAGTGCAGTGATGCTTACCACAGTCCTAATTCCCTGGACAGCACTCACCAACCAAAGATAGGACTTTGCACAATACAATCCGCAGAGGCATCAATGTGATGCCTTCTCTAAGAATATAGCCTACCTGAATGTAAATGGGAGAGATGGGAGAGGTGAGGAGGTGGCTGTTAGTGGTGAATTATTTTGGAGCGTTAGCCTAAGAGAACAGGGATAAGACAGGGCAGCAGGTACAACAGTGCAATCCAGCAAGAGAATTCTTTCTTTCACATGATGGCACCCACTTGGAAAAGTTCTCACTCCCACGATAGGAAGCATTTGTAAAAAGCTCAAATAGAGACCATGAAAGGCCAAAGGCAAGGTGTGTCATCCACAGGCACCAAGCACTGCTGTGCCCGCAGCCTGCTGGCAACACAGAGTGCTCTCCCACCTCCCTTGACTACACCAAGCTAGGCCAGCACCATTGTTCTCCACAGACAGATGCTTCTACAATTCCTGGCAGTCTGATACTCACTGAGGACAGAAGTTACTTTGGGCCTCTTCCACAATGTATCACACAGACCGAGCCCACGTACCAGTGAAAGTGGAAATGCATTTTACCCATCCAAGAGGTACGTGCACTCAGCTGAACACTTCAGCTGCTCTGTTACCTGCAGCAGTGCCTGCAGACAGCCTGAAGCATTTGTTTCCCAGTGCACTTACCTAGCAGACCTGGCAGAACTTGCATATACTACATTCTTTGTATGCAACTTTAGTACAGAATCTAAGAAAATAAAGTGAAATAATAAACTAAATAGGAACCCAGCTTTAAAGTCATAGGTAGCAGGAGGCGCAGTCAAAATCACTGCTTTTATACTGCCCAGATCTCTAACTAACATGTTTCTTAAAGCCCAAAAATGTGAAGTGAAAAAAACAGTGTTCTCCTTATTAGGTCATCTGCAGTGACGTTTGAAGCATCAGCTGCAGTAATGCATGGAGCAAACAGATCTCAGCAGCAATATCTGGAGAAACAGTTTTTCCTGCAGGGATCCAGCTGCTCACTTACAGCTTTGGTGAACACCTCCCAGAATTCTCACTGCAGCTTTCTGCATCAGCTCTGACCCTGGGAGGCAGAGGAGCTGCACGACTGTTCTGCTATCAGTGGGGATAGAGTTGATTTTTCCTTCGTAGTGTCTGTCACGATGCAGTGTTTGGCTTTAGGAGAACAGCAGTGCTGATAGAACACTGATGTTTAGTTGCTGCTGAGCAGTGCTGCATGGAGCTAAGGACCTTTCAGCTTCTCTACTCCTTGAATTGTCCTGACAGTGAGGGGACAGAACCACAACAGCTGATCTCAACTAGCCAAATGGATATAGCATATCATATAGCATCATATAGTGGAAAAAACCTGGAAAAATCATGGGGAATTGGCTGAGCGGGCAGCTGCTGCTCAGAGACTGATGATATATCTATAATTATCATTACTGTCATGCTTTTTTCCTCTTCCTTTTCTTAATATATAATTTGTATCTCGATCCATGAGTTCTACTTCGTTTTTTTGTTGTTGTTGTTTTTTGTTTGGTTGGGTTTTTTCACATTTCTGTCCCCCATCCCACTGGGAGGGTGTGAGCAAGTGGCTCTATGGTGCTGAGCTGCTGCCAGGTTAAAGCACAGCACCGACTGCCCTGGAATTCAGCATACACAGTGCAATTAGCAGAGCAAGTATATGTCTTTCAATTAAGCAGAAGAGAACAAAATGGAGTTTGTTCAGTCACTCAAACACACCAGAGTTTTTTCTCCTTCAGTTTCACATTCCATCCTGAAGCATTCAAAAACCTGAGTGGTGCAGATACTGAAGTGGCCCTGAGCTATCACACTGTTGATCACTTTTACCTGCAGGAGTGTTTGTGCATCTGAGCTGCTTTTAAGAAAAAGGAGAATTTGCCACAACTAACTATGAGCAAGTCCATTTAATAAGAGCAAGATGGGGACAGATGCCAAAGCATCGTTTAGGTAGTTAGAAACTTTTAAAGCTGCTTCTAAATCTGAACTGGATAGCTGCATTATCATAAAGATATCTGTTTCAATAATAACCACAAGACAAAAATGGATTTTACTTACTAACTAATGAACAGTGCTGCATCTAGACAGATGGTGGGGATGCAGTCCACAGTTCTTTTAGGTAGCTTTTCTGCTGCTTTGCTTGGCAGAGAAATGGCATTAAAATAATGACAGGGCTGTATACAGAACCAAACCTCAAAAGGACACAAGATCCTGCTCAGAAAACCCTTGTAAATCCACACAGCTTCACACAGCTCTGATATTCCTATCTGAAAATCACACTTCAGCTGGCAGAATGGAACAGTCAGCAATTTATCCTCCTGATTTATATACAAGGAATTTAGAGTTTTAAAGGCACAAATACACAAGTAACAGTGCTAAATTCCTACACACTTCCTACAGCAAATAACTGGCACTTCCCTTGCATGATCCACCTCCAGAATACATTTTACTAGAAACGATGTGATCAATTCTAGTGCTGCCTTTCACAGCTTAAATCTGAGCACGAGATTCATTCACAAGAAATGCGGGTTGAGATTTAACAAGAAAAATAGTTTCAGTGGTCAACAGCCACCTGGTGACAGAACCACCCAACCAAAGCAGCCAAAGTAGGGACACTCCAAGAACGTTCCATAGAACTCTGAGGAAAAAGGAGAATAAGTTAGACAGGGAGAACTCACCCTAATTTCTGAGAACTAAACCTCAGCAGTAGCAGTTTTGCTGAGTCTATTGCCTGTGCTACTCCTAAGTACAGCCTGATGTATAAAACGCCACGTCCAAAGGGCACGGTTTATATCCTGCAGTTAAACATCTACTCATCAACAAAACATCTCCACGTGTCTCTTCTGTGCCACTAACATACTGCCACTGGTAGCACGACAGAGGAAACAGAGGAGTCTTAATCTGCAGCCAAGGCCTTTGTCACCAACAGATACTTAGATCAGATGATTTCTCATGACAACTGCTTCTGTTGTTAAAGCAGATACAAACGGGCTGGAGAACAAACAGAAAACCAGGATAGAAAATGCTAACAAACGATCTTAAAAGTAGTATACCAATTCAGCAAACATGCACCTTGTTCCAACACGAGAGATGGAGTTGCCAGCTCTAAATCATGCAGATAAAATAGTGACTTGGATCTAGAAAAATACATATAATCCTGCCAGCAAATTCTCAGTTCCATTCCTCACAGTAAGAATAACAATACATTCCTCTAATTGCAAATGGAGCAAAATAAAGAATCTAATCACCTCTTGGTCCTGAAAAACCTTTTAAATATCACTCAATACATCTACTGAGGAAGTATGAGATAATTCAGTACATCACAAGTTCAGTGTTATGGGGCTGAAATCACCTTTGTGGAACAGACACTCCAAGCGCGACTGTTGGAGCTAAATATTCAGCACACATTTCCAACTCCTGTGCTTCAAATCTACATCTTCCTTTCTGATTTCACAAACAAGATTTTCCTTGGAACAGGGGCCTGGGAACGAGTTGATAATGCTCTAATTACCATGCAAACACTGTCCTTTTAGCCCTAGGAATTAATGCACCTTGAGCTGCCTAAGATTCCTGTTTGCGCTTTAGGTAACTAAGCAGGACTGAAGGGCACTGTAACTCAAACTGTAAGATATTTACACTGCCCCAGAAAAAAAAGCATCTGTGGCCACAATATTCTTGAATCTTGATACTGGCAACGTGATTGTTCCGTTTCCATACACAGTTGCACATGTATATATACACATTCAGTGCTTTTTCTTTCAACACAAATGTATCAACTATCAATTTAGTGCCAAATTTAAGTGAATCTGTATCTCACTGAGTGGAACAGACTCAGAACTTTAAACATATTAGAAAACGCCACCTGGCTGAGGAGGTTAGAGCATCAGTCTCAGTGTAAATACCATCCCCAAGAATATTATGGCTTGGAAGAATTTTGAGAACTCAAGTCCCTGATGCTTGCAAAACGAAAAGGCCTTTGGAAACGCACTCGCATCAATACTTTTTTTTTAAACCTATTTTGAATAAAAAATATATATTATTTATAAAATAAAGAGAGCAGGCCAAAGAAGATTGGCCAGAATCACTCTGTAAAACTGTTCTGTTCACTCCATAACTTCAACTTATAAAGCCTTGAAACATCTGGATTGCAGGATTTCTGGAGAAGCACTCTAGAATGCAGATTCCAATCAAATGATACTTCTTGATGCTTTTACATCTTAAAGATCCACTTTTCTTCTGCCTCTCAAAACTGAATTCCATGCAGAGAGAAGGGATGTTGACTCCTGAGAGGGAAGCTGAAACGTAAATGAAGAAAAACATGCAGTGTAAACACTGATTTGATGAAGAGTACGTGTCTTCTAATCCCAACTTTCAACATCATTTTAAAGCCATGCAGAATCACAGGGAAAATGCTACCTTTTCACTCTGAGTGGAATGGCAATATATAGTTCTCAACGGCTACCTACAGAAGAAACACCATTTTTATTTTTTTTCTCAGTGGCAAAAAATGGAATTGCATCTACAGTGTGCAAGAAGCCCATTTGTAAAAATCCCAAGTTGTTCTACTAATGTGCAGAACTAAGCAGTGGATCACACAGCTTTACCATACAACACCGAGTTATTTACGGATTGTGAAGGATCCTTTTTAGGGATCAGAAGGATCGTGAGGCCCTGCTTTCATGGTCTGTATTCGTACTGAAAATCAAGATCAAGCGAGCTTTTGCCCAGAGCAAGTAGACAAGTTCTACCTAACTACTCCACCTCCTGCAAGAGGGATAGTAGAAGATACCCAGGGAATCTTGGTCAGCAGTACTCCACTGTGGAAATACCTCACAGTGACCAAAGAGGACACTGTCTGCAGCTTAATGCAGGAGTACATATTCAGGATACTTCCCCACAGCTTTGAAAGTCAGAACAAATTACTGTTCTGTATTAATGCTCTGGCAGCAACACCTTCTACAAACCAGATTATCTTTGTATCCAAGTTTCTTAAGAATGAAGAAAAACAAATAGAATAATGGCTGATGTGGGCACTACAAGCTACTTTCATTTATTCCCAAACACGTGGAGCACACAGTGTGGTTGTTCTCAACCTCGGTTTCTTTCTTTCAAGATTGTATCTCCACCTTCCCACACCTTTCATGAAGCACAGAACAGACTCCCATTCTTGTAACCGAACAGCTTAGGGGAAAGAATAAGTCCTGCTGCATTTACCATAGGAGCTGCAGGGTGTGTATCTTCCCTTACAAACTGCTTTTGGCTCTTGTGCAAAACACTCAAACATACAGCCCAGGGCTACCACTATTTTTTGTTAGGTTCTCTTAAACAATGTATTTCTGAACATACTGGTGAAATACTACCATGCATGGTTTCATCAACACGATATTGTGGCAAAGGAGCATCTGCCCCTCCATGGGCGCACAGCTGCACCAAAGCCTTTGAAGTGTTAAATGACTGCCAAATGCCATGAGAGGTAGGTGACTGCTAAAATCAAAATCTGTTCCAGGTTACCTACCAGATTCCCTGCAGAGCAGCTGTTTTGAAGATAACAAAGAAATACTGACCTTTCTGAACAAGCCTTCTACTGCTGTCGTTTTCAAACCGCTATGTCTCCCTTTCTATGGCAAGGGACGCAGCTTCACCAGAATCTATACAATGAAAGACAAAGTAGTTAGATAAGGAAATCTGTCTTTCTCACTACAAATATATTTGTCACTAAATGTGGGAGACTGTTTTAAAGAATCACTGCAAAGAAATTAGGCAATCGCTTGTCAGAGCTAACTGAATGGCAGTTTTTTAAGAGAGATTACTTTATTATTGGCTTCATCTGTTTCATAACCGTATCACAAATTGTAAAGCTGCTACGACAAATAAAAATCTTTCTATTTTAATGAAACATTTCAGACCATTCTGATCAGAAAATTATATTGCTTTACTTCTATTGTGCGAGATGTAATCTGGACACTCTTAAGCTTAGAGCACTTCATTTGCTGATGCCTTACCAAAAAAGAAAAAAAGCAGTGGTGAGAAAACAAGAAAAACATCATTTCCCTCTACAGTGCATTCTCCCCAAACCCTTCTGTCAGAAAGGAGTGAGGGCACGAGAGCTTAATGAACCAGGAAATCATCTTCTCTGAATACAGCTGCATTAGTACAGAAGTGGTAGAAACACATGACAATACACTAACACACAGTAATGTACCACTATGTGGAATATATCACACGTTCACGATATTTTATTCCTAAACGTTTTCACTTGCAGAATAAAAAAATGAATGCAATTCAAATCAATTGGAAATCTGAAAGTAGTTCAGATCAGATGTCAGCCACAGGAAGGCAGAACAGAAATTTCTACTGTGAACTTACAGAGAGAGATGGAGGCAGTCAGGCATGGTTAATCTGGTGAAGCAGCAGTTCGGGGTCAATCTAATGGCAGTCTGCAACTACTTGTAGACCGTTTGAAATAGCAACTGGTCTGAAAGCAGCTCCTACTTCATATTTACTGGAAATAGCATCCTGCTAATTGCAGGCAATAATTACACTTTGCTCTACTGCAGAACTGTATTTTGACCGTAATTAATGCACAATAATTCCCAAGAAATCTGTATGCAAATCTACGTGTAATCTATATGTAGATCTATCTTCAGAGCCTGCCTAAGAATGAGGGAGATTATCGTCTCGTGCCTTTCCACACCTGCATGGTTAAGTGAAACAAACTGCCTAATCAAAAAAAAAAAAACAAAAAAACCAAGGCAAAAAACCAACAAAACCCAAACAAACAGAAAAATCACCCAAACAAACCACAGAATTAAAAGGCACCCAACAAAACCCTGAAAACATGCAAGACCTGTAGGAAAAAGATCTAATTCCCACACGTATATCTTTAGAGTTGTTCCTCTGACTGCTTAAACCATATTGGTTTTGCTAAATATATTTACCCACGAATTTGGTTAAACTGATGCAGATTCCTCTGCAGGTTCTCCTTCACAATTTAAAATTAGAATGCAGTCACTGACACAGGGTTTAGCTTTGCTTTATGTTCATCTTCTGCCAGACACAGTTTAGATGTTTAAATCACGCCTGAAATCCAGAGATGCAAATCCAGCCTTCTGTCTGCGTTTACTGCGTCGCACAATGCACTGCTTTATTCCCTGAGCCACCTCTGCTCTCTTCCAACATCTAAGCAGCTTTTAAAATTTCTCGATGGACAGAAATATAATCCTTACAATCACAACAGATGACTTCTCTGCTCAAAGGATTGCTCTGCCAAATTAGCTGGTATCTCAGGACATGTCGCTCCTTTAATTAGGCTCCTACCAATTTGAATTGAAATTCAAAGCAGATGCCTTCAGATACCTGAAGCTTCATCGGCATTAAGAGAGATCATCAGCTTCCACCTATTGCTCAGGATATGTTGGCTTCTGCTGGAAACATGTAACTTACTACAGATAACAAATTTTTGGAGAGAGAACAATTTGGGAAAGATTTGATTCACATCCAAGCCTTTTGTACAAGCTAAAATGAAACATATAATTAAATTATTAATCACTGTAAGAGATGTTGCTATAAATGTACAGAAATGGCTGTGCTATCCTGAGCTCCACGAGACAAAGAGTGCAAGCATTCACAGTACTGACACATCCACATCCTCAACCAACACGTCAAATGTATTATAGATGAATTCTTTGAAAAAATGATAACCTTATAAGCTGCCAGCTTATGATTTGGAGTAGCACTCTGGCTAGACAGATTAAACAGATGCCCGTGAATAAGAGATGAGCATTAATAAATCTGTAAAAAAATCAATTTAGTATGTCTTTGGAAGCAGGTGCTTTCAGTCTCTCACTAAGAAATGAAAAAAAAAGTTCCCCACAATACTTTTTCCCATCTAAATGAAAGACTGAAAACCTTAGCAAGTCAAGGTACACGTAACAGAAACCCAAACTGTAAGGACACACTTAAATATTTGAAAAAAGAACAACCTTGTGGATAAAATGAAGAAAATGAGAAAACTGTGCCCTTGAGAGGCACCATCTTGAGTACTGCATCCGGATCTGAAGCCCCCAGCAAAAGAAAGATGTAAGAGCTGTTGGAATGGGTTCAGAGGAGGGCCACGAAGATGATCAAAGGGCTGGAGCATTTCTTCTTCAAGGAAAGCTTGAGGGATTTGGGTTTATTCAGTCTGGAGAAGGCTACGGGAAGACCTCACCGAAGCATTCCAGTACTTTAAGGGAGTTAATAAGCAGGAGGAGGACCAACTTTTTACATGGTTTTACTGTAACAGGACAAGGGGGAATGACTTCAAACTAAGAGTGGAGATTTAGATTAGATGACAGGAAAAAAATGTTTACCCAGAGAGCAGTGAGGCCCTGATGTTGGCTGCTAAGAGAATTGTGGATGACCCATCCCTGGAGATGTTCTAGGTTGGATGGGACCCCAGGCAGCCTGATCTGGTGGGGGGCAACCAGCCCATGGGTTGGACCTAGACAATCAATAAGGTTCCCTCCAACTTAAGCCATGTTGTGCAAATAGCCCACGATGAAGCTGCCTCACCTCCTTGCTTTCAGTTGGGCTTGTTTGCTCCTCAGGAATCTCCACGTCCCCTTATGTTCATCAACCCTGGTATCTATGCGACCTGATTTTAAAACGTCTTCATGCAGACACAAAATAAGTAGAGTGGAAGTAATACAGTGCAATAATGCAACTGGGGAGGAGAACAACACAGGTGCTTAACCGAACTTCTGCACTCTGCCCTTTTCATTATTTCTATGGCAGTTCGCTCACACTTCTGCATGAGCAAATTTCTGCATGGAGTGAGGGACTGATGAGGATAACCTTCTCTTCTCCTACTATATAACAGTTGCATGAGCAATTAGAGGTGGAACTCCAGGAGACAGACTCCTCTGAAATACAAGAGAACAGCTGGTTATTATTCTGAACCTGATGCAGCTGGCAGTGCAATCTCCTAAGACTGCAGGACTGAAATTGCACAATCACAGAATCACCAAGGTTGGAAAAGACCTCCGAGATCATCCAGTCCACCTACCACCAGTATTTCACTTCTGAACCATGTCCTTTAGTACAATATCTAATCATTTCTTGAGCGCCTCCAGGGATGGTGACTCAACCACCTCCTTGGGCAACCCATTCTAGCACCTGACCACTTTTTTGGAGAAGTTTTTCCTAATATCCAACCTGAACTTCCCCTGGTGCAACTTGAGGCCACTCCTTCTCATCCTATCCCTATTTACATGGGAGAAGAGACCACCCCCACCTCACCACAATCTGTTTTTTGTACAGATCTATGAGGTCTATCCTGAGCCTCCTCTTCTCCAGACTAAACAGTCGCAGCTCCCATATCTGAACTTTTGTGTTTACTCAGCTCTTGCTTTGTCTAGGTGATGAACATCCAGATGGCAGGAAAAAGAACCGACCTGGTACCTGTCCTTATACATCTCTCCCTCCCCAAAAGCATCTTTTATAATGATAAAAATGACAAGCACACATTTCTTATCTGCACAGGGAGAACAGAACATTAATGAGTCCAGAGAAAAAGCTCCAAGAGTTGTATTTGAAAACAAATTAAACAAAAATATTTTACATATTGAATTGTTGTTATTGAATTAACTGTGAACCTACCTGGGGGTCATGAGAGACACAAAACCTGCAGAGTGCAACATTTGGGCATCCCTGTCTGCTACCAAGCTTTTTGCTGAAAGCTCATGTGCCTCACTGTGCTTGTGATGCTGAATTGTGGACAGGCTGAAAGCTGCCTTTCTACTGTGAGCTGCTCCAAGACCCACAGCAGCATCCAGTTGTGAACCATACACTGATAGCTAGCCATCCATTCAAGAATGTGTGCTCAGCCCATTTTCTAACTTTTGTGTCTTTATTCTGTCTCAGGTTGGCTTTTATGAGACAGTACGACATTCTAATTCTACTACTGTTACAGTTTTACAGGCTCTTGGAGTAAAATTGCAAATCATTTTTCACACTGACAAAGACCAGCTATTTCACAAGCACTACAAAATGTGGAACTTCATCTAAGCTCCAAGTCCAGATTCTGGGATCTGACTTGGCCAAAGCTCATATCACTGTCAAACATGTTCATAGTTACGGATTTTTTTATTCAGAGAGTTTTTATGCTTTGTAAAACTTGAAGAGCTTCAGATTAATTTCTGAAGGAAATTTTAAGCATCATATGTAATACACAGAGACACCATATTCTGTTATTTTTGCAGTCAACTTGTGTTACCTTATCACTGCCAAAATATACTGAACAAAACAGGAAGAACAGATAGTTTTCTAGCACACAAACACTAACTAATTAAAGCAGTTTATCTGAAGTAAAACTGAAATGAATCTCTTCAGATCTAGTCATGAAATCCTGGAGAGTACATTTTCCCAGCAGTATATGCAGCAAGCCTTGGAAAAACCACAGGTTGTTTATTTTGCAGTGGAGTAACTTGAAAGAACAGCTGCCAGTAAGACCTAACCAGAGACTGGAGTGCAAATAGCGTGCTGCTTGGATGAAACAGCTCGTCACACAGTACTGCACACGTGTACAAAAAGTCACATGGAAAAGTCTTGCTTCCCCTTTTAACCAAGAATGTTGGTTTCCTCATGGGTTCCTACACATATGCTGTGCTCGTATCATTAAAAAGTATACCATGACAGGGAATGTTATTGCACAGTTTCTGAAAGCCATTCTGAAGCAATAAAATGACCATGGAAACAGTGTCTCTGAACAGTACAGCAGCAGTATCTGGTTCAAAAAATACACTCGCTTGATGTGCTAATTACTGTAAACTAAAGATCAGCCATACTTCCACCGTTCTGTAAAAATGAAAAGAACAGTGCAATTATGGTATTTCTTTTAAGAGTATCTAATTGTCTTTCATAGAATCATTGAGTTGGAAGGGAGCCCTAAGGGCCACCTGGTCCAACCCCCTGCAATGAGGGACACCTCCAGCTCCCTCAGGTGCTCAGAGCCTCGTGAAGCCTGACCTTGAGTGTCTCCAGGGATGGGGCACCATCACCTCCCTGGGCAACCTGTGCCAGTCCCTCACCACCTTGATTATAAAAAACTTCTTCCTTACATCCAGTCTAAATCTCCCCACTTTTAGTTTGAAACCTTTCCCCTTGTCCTATCATAACAGACCTTGCTAAAGAGTCTGTTCCTTTCTTTCTTACAGTTCCTTCTTATATTTACTATATTGGTGCAGTAGAGTTGCTGTCAGTGTTATTGTTATTACTATAAATCTGGATGGCATCCTTGGTCCTTAAAAATATAACCAAACACGAGCTCTTGCTTAACTTTGTGGCAGGATTTTGAACTCTTGAACACTGTCTCTAACATTAACCCTGATATTCTGATACATATTGTATTCTCCAAAGACCAAAGGTTTGATGATAAATATGTAAAAAACCCCAAACAAATATCACCTCAAGTTCAAGCAGAGAACAGTAATTGATCAGAGAACTGCAATAAGTCATTGAAGTAATTTTGGATGTATTTAGCAAAAATCAAAGAATGGATTCACATATAAGGTCCTTTTCCTAATAGGATATTCATAGGGTAAAACGTACATAACCATTTTGGAAATGGATCCAATCTACTGCATAAACAAGGCAGTTCACCCAGAATTGCATATGTTTATTTTATGAAGATGATGTAGCACGTAGCTAGGTACTGTCTAACCCACAGATGTTACAGCATCAACACCAAATGAATTTCTCTACTACTGTACTAAGGGTGAACAAACAAAGTATGAAGTAGCTAAATGTAAAACCACATTTGGGTGCTTGCATGCATACTCAAACTTTCAGTGGATAAATGCACATAAAATACTGGTCTTTTCATTTTTATAGAAACAACCTCATGCCTACAGTAACCGTGCTGCATACAAGGGCATTTACACATAAATACACCCTGTTTGTGGAGATTTCAATTCCTGTCTGCAACATCTAAGTAACAACCTCTGAGTACATTTAATTGTAAGTACAAAGCCACAACTACATTAAAAAAAAGGAACTGGCTTCAAAGTAGGGCTTATTTTCAGTCTGTATTCATTAGTCAAGTCAGAGACACTTAGTGATTTAGCCAATGCTTTTTTTTCATTTGATTAGCTGTTGTTATTCATGCATTAGTCACTGAGGTCAAGACACAACTCATTTCCTTCAGGGCTACCTTACCATGAGGCTCCTCATCTATTCCGTCATCTTCCCACTGCTCTTCATTTGACAGAAGAGGATTCTGAGCTTCACACAAAGCTCTCATTGGAAAAAAATGTCCATCACCCTGGCTGCATAGCAAAAGACCGAGAAAGATGCTGTGAATAATAGCAAGCAATTCTCAAGGATTATAATTTCTACCTTTTTATTTGCAAACAAAGTTTTCTTTCACCCAAACATCTGATATTTACTTCATATGTTATGAAGTTTCGAAAAGCACTGTATTTATTTCTTGAGCCAACTGAGATACCAAATATCACCAGTGAGCAGTTTCAAACCTGAATTCCTGCAAACTCTTCAGAGACTGAAAGTTAAAACCTGCAGTCCAAATGAAGTGATTTCAGCAGAATTTACATTCCTAACTTGATCAGGTTCCTCAGACATAAAGGAAAAAACTTGTGGCCAGCTAGAAGCGAGGGGAGACTGAGGAAAACGTTTATGTTTAAGGAATGATGATACCCATCTTATCCATTTATACCATCGACTCTTCAGGGCAGAAATTACACTTCCACATTCAAATGATGCCAAGTAGAATATATTCCCAATCTTAGTGAAGTGTCATTGAAGGACAGGTGAGACTTAGCTGTAGACAACATGGAAAGAAAACCCTCTGCAAAATTCTAAAATTGCAAAAGTTGTTTTTGTTACACTTTACAAACTATGAGTTCACATGTCTGGATATCAAGCAAATGATTGAAATTCAAATTCATGTAGTGTAAACAAGAAAAGTTAAAAACCAGATGTTACAGTTTGCTCTTCTCCATTCCACAACACCCACATTCCAGCAGTGTAGAGGAGCTACAAGTTCGCTGAAGTGCCTTTCTCTTCTGATGAAACCATCAGATCTTTTCCTTCACCCAAGCTCAGTTAGCTGGGTGTTCTCTCCAGAATTACTATGCTCACTGGTAATGTGCCTCTGACTTGCATGTCAATGTTTTTCATTAATGGAAAGGTTTGCTTTGCTGATCTTTTCTCACTGACAACAAAAAACAGATGGCAATTGGGATGCAACCTGGTCTTAAACTTACACACCACTACTTGAAAAAGTTGTGACTTGCTGTGCTCAGTAGTTACTTTACATTGTGTCCAATAACTAAAGCAATTTGAGTATACTTTACTATTAAGTAAAGTCTATTAAGTAAGTCTATTAAGTACTATTAAGTAAGTCTATTAAGTGCCAAAAACCATCTTCCCCTAAATTAAGCAGCATAAACTGTTTCAGTCATAGGAGGCTGAAAGACAAAAAACCCAGCATCTCTAAATGAACATCTATCCACAAGTCACAGGAGTCCAGAAAGATCAAACACCCTGTGCAGTGCATTTACCTGGCAGAAAACTTTCACTTCCAGACTTCTTGTGTACAGGATTAGCACAGACTGTGCTGGCTGGTGTTTTTACAGCAATGTGCAAGAGCAGCCAAGCCACAAAGTCACTGCCATCATATACAAGGCTGTATTAGAGATTTAGAAGTCAATCCCTTGTATCAACTTTTTGCACGGACTTGATTATTCCTTACCTGGAGGCAATAGGTAGTAACCACAGCTTTTTTTCTTCTCCAAACACTTGCTGAAGATTTTTTACAAAGCCAAGATTGAATCCATTTTTATCCGGGCCATTCTGAAATACTGGAGTTGAGAAAGCCTCTACGTATAGATATAATGTCAGAGAAAAAAAAGAAAATCAATGCCAACTACACTGAAACAGACTGTACATTGCAGGCACCTGAAGTGAGCAGGATTTGCCAGATTACAAACTAGCATTACAAAGATACAAAGGGTTTTCATTTTTTGGCAAGACTGCAAGACTTTCAAACTGAAGGTAGGAATTTGGTCCTGCACACAACTGTATGAAATAATCAAACAGACTGATCTACAGAGGAGAGTTAAAAGACCTTTGCATGAAACTTGCTGAACTTCAGTGGGTAGAAATTTCTAAATAAAAACATGCAGAATTAAGTAGGTCGGTCTTAAATGCATATTTCAGAAGTGGCACTGGGGATTTAAATCGACTCATTCATTAACGATATAATGAACAAGCACTGGAAAGAACCATGCACAGACTGAGCCTCTGTCACGATGAGAAATAAAATTAGTAAAAGGAAAAGGGGGGAGGAGAATCTAGAGGGCACTAGAAACAATTTCATCTGCCTTCTAAGCTGCTGCAGAGGTCTGATGTTTTGGGCTGGATGAGCTTCAGTGACCATCAAAACGAGTTTAAAAGTTAATAATTATACAAAATCTGAGTATTTGCTTAAATTCTTGTCTCTGTGTTTTCTTACAGAACTTCATCCAAAAATGTTTAAGAAATAAAAGACTTAGCTGAGGAAAGAAAAAGAAATCACTCGATAAAACCATGCTGGTCGAGACCTTTGTTTCATTGGTATAATTTTGTAGTCCTAATTTCTTTGTCTTTGTCAGTGAGGATGGACATCGTTTTTCCCAGCTTTTTTTGGCTGTCTTAGAATGCACTCTAGCATAAGCAACCATTACTCCTGAAAAGCCACACTCATTTCACAGCAAACGTAGTTATGCACATGCATAATTAGACACTTGTATTTTAAGGCTCTAGTTTCCCTTACAAAACTTTCATCACACCAGTTAGAAACACAGCTTATTTGCAGTGATAAATTTCTACAGTATTGCTCCAGTGCCCTACATCCTCCTCCCCTCATAAGCCAACAGGAATATACAGAAATAGACCAAAAATGTGTGTTCTTTTCCCCCTCTCCCTTCATATAGCAGCACTTAATACTGCATCTCCCCTAAAGAAGACACAAGAGCCTTACCTAAAGTAGATCTGTTCCTACTGACAAGCCAGCAATGGTAGCCAAACAGAAACATGAGGCTAACAAAGAACATAACCGCCAGAAAGAGAAGGAAAAGGATATGAAATTTGGAACGTCCATTGGTCAGTTCACCCTAGAAAAAAAAAACAACAAAAAAAGATCAGCACAGGACAAGTGATAAGAACAAATAAGAGCTGGACATTATTTGTTCCTAGTGAAGCTATCCTTTAAAACTCCTTTTTTGTTGTATCAAATTTATTTTAAAAATGTTGCACCTTACAATAAAGAGCACAAAGAGACAATGGAGAAATGACCCCATTCCTTTCCCATTCCCAACCAAAGCTGAAGGAGTGGTGTTTTGATACCTTTTGTATGCAACAGAGTCAGTACAGTCAGCTTCCCACCTGGGCACCAGAATGTTTTGTATCCACAGTGCAATAGGCAGGGACAAGCTCTTGAAAGTCTCATTTCCATTTTGCTGAATGCTCTGTGCATACATTAAATACTGCACCACTTCCAATATAGGGGATGGCCAAAAACGTGAGCTTTTCCACAGCTGTATCAATCAAGTAAAGTTAGATCTGAGTAGATACGGTTTGGAAAAGTCGAAAACCAAGCAGGATCCTGAAAGCAGAAGAGACACTCCATTTCCTTCTGTGTTAGAAGAGTAAAGTGCCAGAGATCTTCATAAGCATACACCTACAGATGGGCTGTGAGTATCCCAAAGATGAAAAAGATTACTTCTCAGCTTATGCACAGCACATGTCAGAGAATTGAAGACTCTGTGCCTTTCTTAGCATTACTAATAATTCCTGCTACTGCCTTATGAGTATCACAAGAGGCACTTTATGTAGGTGATTAGCTGTTTAAAAACCAGAAATTACAAAGTTAATGCACAGCAAAGTGAAGTTACTTAAACAGTGCCATACAGGGTTAGCAGCACAGGGGACATTAAAGCAAAAGGTGTAAAGAGATACAAGGGCAGTCTCTATTGGAGCTGCCAGCTGGCACTGCCTGCATACAAATAATAACTGATAACTGCGTAAGAAGCATGCTTTATTTCAGCCAACTTTATATTAAGCAAAGAACAATATGGGAATTAGAAAATGAACTTTTTTTGGCGTTGCTCAGTATATATGTACAGATCAGTGCCAGGATGTTACACTGTGGGATCAGAGCAGAGAACTGATATTCTTCGAAAGTCTGAAGACCATCAGTTACTGTAAGCAGTATGGTAGCAACTCCAGGCTCTGCACTCTGCACCTCTTTATTTGCTCTTCCCCTAAGGGCAATGGGCCTAATCTTTAAAACAACAATACACACAAAGTGGAAAGAAATATGCCCAGGCAGTTCAGGAAACAACATAAAAGAAAACCACCCACCCACAATTAATGGCTTCCTGGTATAAGACAGAAATACACAGGAGGTATTCTTGTAACCACTTAAAAAACACTGAATGTTGACAGCTAAGAATTTCTACCTAGAAGATAACTCTTTCCATATCTAGGAGAAATCTGTTGTTAATGGCTTTTGCTTTTTGCTTGTATCTTAAAACGAGGAGGTCTGGCCAGCCAACAACAGCTGTATTGGGATTTGGGAAAATTAACCACATTCATGTCTAAGGTTAGTCTAACCCAGCTCAAGCTGTGCTTATCCTGTGCAACGCCTCTGACTTTGGTGGTATATCTGATGATACACCCCAGCGTATGTTGGAAAACCACCAGAATATTTTTATAGACAGCAATCCTGAGCTCCCATTCGGTGAAATGTGTCTTCTTCTGAATGACATTTGAATTTTTTAAGCTAATAAACTTGTGATAAATTTCAAAAGAATTTGAGATGCGTATGTTTGAACACATTTGTATAAGAAAAGGAAATAACTTCTTTCTCCAGAAGCTAACTCTACAAAGAGAAATTCCTGAAGATGATTTTCTTTGTGCATTTCAGACATACTGGAAGTTAAATTCAAATAAAGGCTGCAGAAGAAAAACAAAAAACCCCACATATGGAACTAAGACAGCCCCTCCTTTGACTGAAAGCAAAATTGTAGTGACTAAATCCCACCATACTCAGAAGATGAAAAAAAAACAGATTCCAGACTTACTGTCCAATACTTAATGAAATATTTGAAGACTGTTGCAGCAATATACAAGCAATACAACAGAGAATAGGCTAAGAAGAGTAGAAAGAATTTGTAGTTAGAGAATCCAATGCAGTTATTCACCCTGGAGAAGAAAAGCAGAGTTGGAATCAGGATATATACAGCACACAGTCGTAACACAATGAATACTACACTGGGCAGGATGGAGGTTACTAAGCCTCGCGATTACACAACACAATTTCATTAATAAATAGCTCCCCTTAGCGTCGAAATGAAACAGAGCTGAAACCTGTCAGCTTCTCACTTGAAAATTTGTTCTGCCAAGTAAAAGCACAGTTTGTATTTCTGAATCTTATTTAAAGCTGGCACCACTGGTGAATTTGTCGCAGAGGCGGTTCCTAATTACTCGTTTCTTGTCTGCAGAGGTAATCAGATCTGGAATTTCTGTTACCTTCTATTGGTGCGCAAAGCTCAGGAGCCAGACTCACCACTTGTTTGGTTACATACAACACAAACCAAACAAATTTCACTACAATTCTCCAAGCAGGGCAACTCCAACAAACAGCAAGGGAGTGCAGAAAAGATAGGAGGCATTTGTCTCATAAATTAGGTTCTAAAAACCCTCTAATTTTAAGAACATTACAGATGTTCAGGTGGGGAACCGTCTGCATTACTTTTCATTTCTGAGATTTTCCTTTCTTTATAAAAAAGGAGTTTAAGAGATTTAGTGACAGCAATTCTCAAAAAAAAAATAAACTTCACGTATCCAGGAATCATTCTACACAAACTTTGCCACGCACAAGTGGGCAGGCATCAATTCAGAAACAAACCAGGCAAATACTACTGATGCAACCACCAACAGCATGCTCAATTATATCACCAAAACTAAAGGCTAAGTTGAAGTTCCTTTACAGTTTGAACAGTAAGATGGAATTGGCAGTTGGGTTTTAAATTACATCTACACAACTGTCTTTTACACACTGTTAATAGAGAGAATGTGAATGATTTGTCTTTCAAAAATAACATACATTTAATATTTTATAAGTCTCCCAATGTAGAGGTACATGGTCTGAAGTGAAAGAGGCACATAGAAACCATTCTATGAAAGAAATGGATTTAAATAGCCCCCTTTTCCAGAAAATGACAAACCACGATCTAGAACATACCATGGGCAGTGATGATCCATCTTTAGGACACACCTGCACGAGGGCAAAAAAAGAAAAACTGATGAGTTGTGTTTGGTAGTGATTTGCCAACTGCAGATCAATAGCAAAAGGCTGTGAGATGTTTTGTATTTCTGGGATGGGTCAGATTTCCACACGACCCAAGCGCAGGATGACACTCCCTCACTGATGTTTTTTAAAGTAGGTACCATTTTAAGATGGAACACTGATTACTTTTTCACGATCTAAAGATGACTTTGGTGTCCTGCACGATAAACCAATGAGGATGGTTTCTGCCCACGGCACTTAAAACTTCTGCCAAACACCACATGAAAAGGCCCAACGTGATAAAAAGTGAAAAATCACACTTTATTTTGACCTGCTACAGGCAATCAGTTATTGCTGATATATGAAATATCTTTCACTAGATATTAAGCTTTCTATCAACTTAATGTTCACAAATTTGTAGGTGTGGGAATTGCAAACACTTCAGGGACACATGCTAGTGCAAATACACTGCTGACGAGCTGGAACAGAGGAACCTTTACAATCAAAAGGTGTGTGAACAACTTCACTTTTTCTGTGCTGTAGGAAGCCTGCTTTGCAGGGGGGTTGGACATGATGATCTCTAGAGGTCATTTCCAACCACTACAGTTTTGTTATTCACAACTCACATAACTTCAGTGAAAAACAACCCATCAACTTACATAGCACAAACAGAACAGTGGTGGCAACGATCTGGTTTTATCAGCTGGCATCTATCACAGAATCGAATACCTGAAATTAAAGACACATTAATACCAAACAATATAAGTGGGGTTTTTTTGTATGTGGTTTTTGTTTATTTTTTTTCATATTAGCACTCAGCTCTTTTTCAAAATATGCATGTTCTTTCCTTTAACATTTTAAAAGATGAGTACATCTGCAGGTCATAATTAGATAAGCAATGTTCATAGTTCTTATAGAGACCAGCAGACTTAGGGAACCCTCACTGTAAAGCTTATGATCAGCATAAAAGCAATAAAAGAAAACTGTACACACCTCCACCCAGCTTCTAGATTTACCCAGACTTTAAATACATTCCGTTTTGATAACTGCAGTTCTTTACTTCAGAATTCTTTGGCTTGTTTGCCAGAAGCAAATAGGTCAGAGCCTCCAACCTGAACATGGATTTCCCTGAAGCTCTGAAAGGAGTGCAGTATGCATTTCATCACAGAACAATTCCATCAACGGATTTTTGGACCTTACACCCTGAATCTCTAAGCTAGACTCCATCTTAAGTAAAAATCACTACAGATTTTGGTATTATGCTATCATTACTATTACTAAACTAAGACAATGGGAGTAGGCTGCTGAATTGTAAGTACAAAGGACAGCATCTTGCTCTCAAAGCCAGAACACACTACTCCAGTGAAGATGCGCTGCAGTCTCAGAGCCTTTTTGTTTTCCCAAACATAAAACCTGACAGATAAGACACAAAATTCTGAGTACAAGAACCATGCAGTGTATGCGGTGGCATCAGGCTGACCGTACAGTGTTCACTGCTAGCACATGCTACTTTAGTCTGCTTGATTAGATTCAGAGCAACAGAGCTCTCTGCTTTGCTGACCTCCACTCCCCGTTCTCGTATACACTGGCAGCTTCCTCGCAATTTCAGCAAGAATTTGCCTCTGCACCTCTGGCCTTTCTTCATTTTCATAGCGTTCTTTGTCAGCGTAGGACATGTGGTACTGGAAGCAGAAGTCATGAGAGAAGCAGTTACTCATGGGGAGCGGAGACGGTTTCTCAAATACAGGCAAGACTAGAAACATTTTGTCTCCCACTCCTTCTAACAGGACTACTCCAAAGGGAAAAGGTGTGAGAAATAAGGGATGGACAGACAGGCAGCACACTGCGCAATGCATCCAAAAGAATTGCAGAAGTGAAATTAAGATCACAAAACAACACATTTGGAACTGCTGCCACTGCTGCTGCTTCAGACTACCTTTTTTCATGAATAACTTTAATAACAGTGAAAAGAACATCCTAAGCACTCTCCTTATGAGCAAGAACCCGTCCAACCTACAGTTTTCTATTGCTAACACTGAAATTATATTCTTGTGATTGGGATCGAATTATGGCAACGTATATTGGAAGTGCCACACAAACATCACCCTATTCTATTGCTCTAGTAACAGAGCAGTAATAGAATAGACACAGTAATAACCATGTCTGATTTAAATCCTGCTCTGTGGGTTGTCAAAGAATTCTCAGAACAGTAAAGGACTCAGTCTTCAGGTCACTTTAAGTCCCTTTCCATCTCCTCAGCAAAACCAATCAGTTGTGCAGATCAATTTGACTGTAGGATTTTTGAGTTTTCTTTAGCACCCTGCTTTCACTCTGCAATGAACGGGAAGTGCTGGGATTCTTACCTTTTTGCCTGGCTGAACCGGGAGAGTAAAAATAGACTTCCAATATGTCCACACAAAGAGCACAAAGAGAATATGGAATATTATAAGATAGGCCACTAAAACAAAAAACAAAAAACAAAAAAACAAGAGCAGAACAGTGACTTCGCAAAAGTTTTGCTTATGATGGGCATAATTCCAATCTTTCACAACAGTTACACAAAAATGGGGAAAAAAGGAAGACTTCTACTAGCAGCCAGTATTAGAACACAGCTAAACCTTACGGCCAAGAGGACAGCAGAATTTCAGGGAGCTGCAGCTGTAGTTAGGAATTACCCACCACACACACTTCCCCATCTTCACCCAAGCCACTTGTAGGAATGAGGAGGAAGACAGCTATGGGAGATCACCCCGCAGGGCACAGCAGACTTGGCTGCTGCTGAGCAGCACAGAATCTCCAGGTCTGGGGTTCGGCTGCATGGAACACGCTTCCATCCACAGTACTTTACTGTAGTGCAATGCTCACCCATGTGATGTATTTTTCACCACTTAGGACATTTGAAAAGAACTCTAGCGGAGCTTTTCATCACCAGAAAAATCAGATCTCTTATTCAACGTCTTTTAAATTTGCCACAGTTGATACAATAAAACAAAACAGGAAAGCATCCCTCAAAGTAAGGAGGAGTAATCTTGTGATTACTGAGAAAGCACAATAAGCTGCTGGATGAAATGTGGACCCCAGCCTGACTCCGAGCAATCTTAATATACAAACTTGATTGCAAAGCCTTTGGATTCCTGAGGCATAGGGTGCTGCAAAAAGTCAAAGCAGAGCAATCCTTGAGCTACACAAACTGTTCAATTATTTCTGACTAAAACACATCAATTAGAAGACAGTTTTATCTAAACATGCTATATAATCACATCATCTCCATTTTATCTGCTTCACTTAATCTTCAAACTCTAGCAAATTAAGATTGAACTACCGCATGTAAAAAGATAAGTCTACATGCAAGCACTTCCAACTACACAGACTGACTGAAAATGCAATTGGTATACAGAGGCCAAACACAGCTTTGAGAGTTTCTCAGAGTGATGTGCCGGGATGTGGAACTGATCACACGAATCAACGACAGCTCATCATTCTGAGATGCAATCCTCATCCCACACGCAGATGGAGCTCAGTTGATTTAAATCAATATTTAAGGAGAGAAATCTTGCAACCATTCAGTGGTGTTGATCAAGCAGCATAGCGCCCGTCACAGGAAGCTGGCCTGGAGATGTGCAACTATACCTGGCAATGACTACTTTCTGCTGGATGATCATCAACACCGTGCTTTCCACAGCTCCTCTGTAACTGTTTCAAGTACTGGGACATCTCTCAAGTGAAAACAAGAAAGAGTGAAAGGGCTTGCAGCCTTTTCGTGGTGTTGTTCGTACACTGAGACTGAACAGGGGCATCTCCCACTGCATCCCAAAGTTACAGCACAACGATGTGCAACTACAGGCACGGAACGCTACAAAAGCATGTTAAGCTTGAGAACCATTGCTGGGTGCTCTGGTTTGTTGTTTTGTTTGTTTATTTGTTTTCTACACAAAGACTGAACTATAAATAAAACGTGCATACCTTTTTCTGCAGGGTTGCTGAGAGTAACTGAAAAAGAAAAAAACATGCTTACAGAGCGAATAGGAATCTCAGGTATGTTTGTGCCAAATGATGTTTCTATTTTAAATACGTTTGTTTTAGAAAAACAACAACAACAAACAGTTCCATTTCAACAGAGCAGACAAGAAAAGTCTCACACTGAAAGCATCCCTAATAGTTCTTTGTTTACTCACAGATGACATCAGATGTTTCAATCACTGTTACCTTTGCTGTATTTTCCCTTGTTATAAAATAGATATAAATTTTGCACATATGGTGCCCTGCTGCTGACCAGATAAGCAGGTTCTTCCAGCACCTGCCCAAGTTGCACCTTCAGCAACCAAGTTGCAACTTATCAGCCTGCTTCCTGCTAGCCTCAATAGTTCACAGTAAACCATGCTGCACTCAGTTCTGCATAAATAAAAATGAGAAATTGCCTTGGCTCTGTTCAGTCAGCAGAGATGGAAAGATGGATGCCCTATAATGACACAACTGTTTCTATCACCCCTACTAACAGACATTTCACAACTCTTCCTCTCTTGGCTGCAATCCTGACAGTCTCTGCTAGTAGAAGTACCTGGAGCAAGCAGCCATGCGTGCTGCACAGAGCCTACCAACACCAGTGGCCTTCTGGTGGGTCACTGTCCAAACTGAACAGAAAAGATAAGGCTGTGGTGGCCACAGTGACCTTACAGAAGGAGGGGAAGGTCACCTTGCTGAACAGCAACTGACAGCACCTTCCTGGGCTGAGCCTTCACTCAGACCTTGCCAGGCTGGAAGCGATGGGGGATCACAGCCTTAGCTAACAAAAGTAGCTTTTCTCAAAACCGTGCTAACAAACAATTTTAATCTGCAAGCTGTTTGACACATAAAAACGTAAACAAGAAGAAACAAAATATTTGCTGTGTACTGCACCATCAAGATACCTAGAAAACTTTAGCATTTCCTTTCACTTGTTGCAAATCAACCTCTGAAATGCACATGAGCTTTTCATAAATACTGCTTTGTTCCCTCCAGCAATCCATGTTGTAATAGCTGCACAGCCTTCCTAATTTGCTCAAGAAAAGAGCAAACTCCAAAGCAAAGACTGCATACAAGCTTTTATCCCAAGTTCTTGCTCTTACTGGTACAGCAACCACCAACCTGGCACAGAACCACAGTCCCCTCTGGAGTGTCAGCTGTTGCCCACACCAGTGGCTGAAGTTCCAATCCCAGTACTGTGAGCTACCTCAGGACAAAGAATAATAGAATCACTTGAGTTGGAAGGGAGCCCTAAAGGCCATCAGCCCAACATCCCAGCAATGAGCAGGGACACCTACAGCTCCATCTGGTGCTCAGAGCCCAGTCCAGCCTGACCTTGAGTGTCTCCAGGGATGGCGCACCACCACCTCCCTGGGCAACCTGTGCCAGTGCCTCACTGCTCTTACTGTAAAAAAACTCACTCTTATATCCAGCCTAAATCTCCCTTCTTTTAGTTTGAAACCATTTCCCCTTGTCCAATTACAAGAGACTCCGCTAAAGAGTCTGTCCCCTGCTTTCTTATAGTCCCCATTTAGATACATCACTCCACACTGTTTCCAGCCCTCAGCACAACTAAAGATAAAGATCAAAAATTAAAATCACGTGGCTACTATTTGCATGCCTGCAACTGCTAAAACAGCAACAGACGGTGTTCAGAACTTGGACAGAAAGGAAGCCCTGAGCACTGGTTGTCAGGTACCTGCACATGCCAAGAATCAAGGTTTGATTCCTAAAAGACTTCATTTACTCTTTTTGACTTCTGCAGAGATTATATCTGCATGTGCAAACGAAATGCCTGAGAGAGAATGACAAGGCAAAAGCAGACAAGTGAGGGCAGAGCAGCGGCTGCAAGATGTGACCCCAGGCCGCACGCTGGGCTCCTGCCAGCCTAATGCGTATCTGCAGAATAACACAATCCCAATCCAAATCCCATCTAATTCAGCAGAGCCTTTTCTACCAGCTGCACTGCGACCCGGAGTCAAGCAGTGTTAAGCACTACTGCAATTCCACGGCACTGCAATCAGAGTGTCCTTCAACAGACCAGAAGCTTTTCTGATTTGTTTGTCCCACAGCCTGGCCAGCAGCTGCAGAGCTGCCGGGTACCTTCAGGCATCCGGGGAACCATTCCACGTGGATTTGGAAAGAAACGGCCAGCAATTGCAGAGATGCCACAGAATATCACGGAACACTAGGGGCTCTCACTCTACCGCTCGCTGAGACGGATCACAGAAGCTGCTCTTCGCCCGCTCCAAAAAGCAATAGGGCTGCCAAAGCAATAAGGGCTAACGGTGTGAGCCTGCCGTGCCACACCGGAAGCCGACACATCACAGCTTACGCTGTTGCTCCGGGAACTGGCGCCCGCATTTACCGGACTGACGGACCGGCAGAGCGCCGCCCGTGCTGCTCGCAGCCGGGCTGCTGGGGGCGGGCAGAGGCCGCGGGGCGCTCCCCTCCCTCTCCCGCCCGCCGCCCTTCGCTCTCCACCCGGTGCCCTCAGCCCGAGCTGCACTGCGCGGCCGGCGCCCACACCTGCTGCTGCTGCTGCCGCCGCGCGGCTCAAAGCGAATACAGAAGGGGAGAAAAGCCAACTGTTTCGCCTGTGCTCCGCGCTGACCTGACCCGACCCGACCCGCCCCGCCGCGCCCGCGGCACCTGCACGGAGGCACCGGGCGGCTGAGCCCGAGGCCCGGCGCGGCCGCGCTCCCCCCCCCCCCCGTCTCACGACCCGCCCCTCACTCAGGCACAGCTCGCAGACGTAGGCGTAGTAGGACCAGAGGACGACGAGGGTGATGATGAGGACGGGCACCCAGGCGAACGCCCGCTGGCAGCAGCGCAGCCCCCGCGACAGGGCCATCCTCGGCCCGCCCGCAGCGGGCACCGGCTGCGCGGCGGCGCTCGGAGCTCGGCTGAGCGGCCTGGCGGCGGGCGGGCGGGATTGGGCGCGGCGCGGCGCTATGGCGCCCCCTGCCGGCAGGAGCGGGCACCGAGCGGGGTGCGACGGCGCCTCCTCTGGAACGAGCCCGCGGGTGTGACCAGCTGATCTGTCTCCACAGAACAGCTTCCTCACCACCGTGCGGGGCCGCTCACGCGGTACCAGTCGCAGTATCTACTTTCTTGCCTTAATTCAAGCCTTTCCGGGCACTCAGACTCGATATCCGCGCCTGGCCCGTCCGTGGAGCTGAGCCGCCGTGCCCTCTGCAACCCGCTGACATTGGCGTTGGATGTGAAAAACAGAAGCACTGCTCCCTCGCCCGGCCTGCTGCACAGCCACCTCTTCACTCCCTTAGGATGCCTTGTCATTTCCGTATTCAGAATGTGTTCTGAATTAATGCTTCAATTAATTAAACTCATTATATTGCCCCCATTAAGGAAATTAGTTTTTCTACCAAGAGAGATTTATCTAACAGAATGTACTCTACCTAAAGCCCTGGTGTAATCTGCCATGCTTTCCAACCACCTCTTTTTCCTTTTTCCTTCTGAAGTTGTTCCGTGACTGCCTTTTTGCTGATACTGTATTGCCCTCACCAGATTTTCCCTCTTTTCAAGCAGGAGTACTAAATTTACCATTCTCCTTCCAAAATCCATGTTTAATTATCAACTGCAAATCCTTGGATCACATCCAGAATTACAAACAGTTTTTTCAATATTTTAAGATGGAGATGATCTGCAACCTCCAATTTGGTCAATTAATTTGTCCAGTATCACAGACTTATAGAATCATTAAGGCTGGAAAGACCACTAAGATCACCCAGTCCAACCAAAAGCCCGTGCCTGTGGCTGCACTAGACCACGTCCCTCAGTGCCGCACTGCCTTGCTTCTCGAACACCTCCAGGGATGGTGATTCCCCCACCTCCCTGGGCAGCCTGTTCCATTATCTCACCACTCTTTCTGAGAAGGTTTTCCTAACATCCAACCTGAACCTCTCAAGTAGCAAAGTGACAGCTACCTTAACCTCCTTCTCTACCCCACTCACAGTCTCTATGACCACTGTCCTTACCTAATCCAGACTACTAAACTTCTCTTTTAGTACAAATCCTGAACTTTACAGTATGTGTCCAAGCTTTCAGTGTGTGGACCAGCCTTTTGGAAAGCCCCTACTATAGCAAAAGCTGTTTGGAGAGATCATAATGTACATTGGTCCGAGCTGCCTGAAGTGCTAAACACCAAATCTCAGACATCCAACAGACTTAGGTATAGGACCTAAGTAAAGTCAGTGGCAAGAGAAACTTCTTCCAGGGCACTTGGGAGGGGAATCAGGACACATACACGAGATGTTGCCCCACCCTTAGACACTCAAGGTCAGGCTGGATGGGCTCTGAGCATCTGATGGAGCTGTGGGTGTCCCTGCTCATTGGAGTGGGGTTGAACTGATGGCCTTCAAGGATCCATTCCAACTCAAACGGTTTTATAATTCTGTGTTCTGAGGACTTTGAGTTGGAAGATATGAATATCCCCTCGCCTCCTCCTTATCCACATCACACTGAGTTGAGAAGCCAGGATTTTTTTTTTTTAAACTAAGGGAAGGTTTAGGTTGGATATTAGGAGGAAGTTTTTCCACTCGGGGGTGATGACACACTGGAACAGGTTGCCCAAGGAGGATGTGGATGCCCCATCCCTGGAGGCATTCAAGGCCCAGCTGGATGTGGCTCTGGGCACCACTGGTCTGGTGGTTGGTGACCTGCACATAGCAGGGGGGTTGAAACTGGATGGGAATTCTTGTCCTTTTCAACCCAGGCCATTCTATGATTGTACGATTTTAACCAGCCATATATTTTAACAAAAGTAAGATTTAAAAAGTTTTTGTGAGCTAAATCCCTACCTGAGGTGATGCGCAGAATCCTTCTTCCTACAATTTCAGAACTACTGATCAGAAAGACAGAAGCACAGCACATCCATGGTACATTTTTCATGCATGTTTGTTTATAGAGCAGGAAGGCAACCTCTCCAACAGATAGCAGTGGAACTCTGTAAAAGGCAGCAGACATTTTCAGATAATACATCTGTAAATAAAGTTAAGACTGTTTTTTTTGTTCAGCATCCAGTTTTTCCTATGTGTTCTAAGATCCACATGGATTGTCTTCAAAATTCTTTTGTTTCATTGGGTTCCAGGGGAGACTTAGTCATATAAACACAAGCTCATCTGAGGTAAGAAATTCCCAAATAAAGCTCTCTCAAACAAAATAATCATGCGACCTTCAAATCAGGCAATTCTTACAATGTATTTTTTGCACATGTGGTTCAAAAGGTAGCTCCCCACTTGAAATTGCCAGCTGGATTTAGCTGTAAGTGGTATAAGGTACCTTGAGCCCTTTTCAGAAATCAACACTACAGATGTTATTCCACATAAACACTGAATGTGAAGTTGAGCTACAGCCAATTTTATAAAGCAAAGAAAGCCCTCTTTGGATGCCCAGTATAACTATGCTCCATAGCAACTGAAGCAGTTGCAAATAGTTCAGCTTAAGAGAGTGGCTTAAGAAAATATGGGATTATCCTAAGTGATCTCTATAAGGATTCATTCTGACCAGGAGCTGTTTTCTGATAACACACATCACACAAGCCTGAAACAGAGAAGGAAAAACTTCTTCAGAGCTCAAAAAGCTGTGATTTCACCCACATGCATAACTAGACTATTGAAAACCACCGCCAAAAACCTAATCACTGAGTAAAGAAGATGAAACAAGTAAGTATAGCAGCTTTAGGGCAATTCAAATAAGTCTCATGACTTCCGGCTTTTTCTCAAAAAAGAAAACCATAACTGTTTTGGGTGCTCAAAGAAAGGCTGTGGTGGCGACTCAGCAGTGCCACTGCCACGGCAGGCACCAGGAAATGTGCCCTTACAAAGGCCTGCCGTTCACAGACCAGATTAGACTGATACCAGCTAAAACAGCACTGGCTTTGTCAACGGTCAAAAAACTCCAAACCTAAAATACATCGGGAAAACATACAAGATCAGGAACCAAATGCCAATTTTTATGATGTGCCTATCACAGAAAATTCTAAAGGATCACACCTCCCAGTTTCACCAAAATGCTGCCATTCGTATGAGAAAAAGCTCTAAGAAAACTACATATGGTAGAAAATCCTTAATTGTTTTGCCCTTTAGAAAATCATGACTGAAAAATGCAGTTTATATTCCCAGTGCTGGACATGAAATTGAGCACAGACTGCAGCAGGCATTTCAAAATGATTCTCAACTCCAGAAAATCAAAGCTGGTCAAGTGACTTTCACCACTTCTGACTTGGAAATCTTGCATAAGCTTGTAATATATGTAAGCCCTGCAGATATGGGGAAAGATAGCTTAAAAAGCAGTAACAAATAAAAATAAGCCAAGCCTAGCGTAGATCTCACTTTTTCAGCCTGGTTTGTGTGTGTAGTAAAAGGAGGGTTTTTTTATTGTCGGACATATTTATGTCCAGATATATCACCCTCCACTTATCAATGATAGGGATATCCAAGAACTTGGGATAATCCGTGAACCAAAGGTGCCTGCTGAGAGTCCTGCATTGCCACCTCTCCTGGGGATCTGAAGAAGGCTTGAGGGCCCCAAAGCTGCCCATTTTATCACTTACTGTAGGAAAACACAGCAGCAATCCTTACCTTGATTGTATCTTGGACTACCACATGGAGCACTTGTAGGTACCTAGATAGATCTTACCATGAGCACTGCATCCAGTCTGATCAGATTTGGGCTGTAAGAACATAGAACTCAGCCCCAGCAGAATAGTTAGAATACTATTTTTCAGAAAAATGGAAATAAAACACTGATTACAGACAAAAAAAAAAACAAACCAAAAACCCCAATCCAAACAGTTGGTCCAGAGCCAGGCCATACCAAGCTCTGCAGTTACCAATTAATATGCTGGCTGTCATCCGGACTGCTGTGTGTAGTGCTGCAGCATGACCCACAGCCCACACAGCACACGCAGACAGCAGGGGGCTGCTGTAGCTGGAGTTTCTCGGTAGCCTTCCCGGTTGGTCTCAAACAGGCCAGAACTCAGCTGCTCCATCTGCCCGCTGCCATCTCAGGAAGTTCAAAGGAGTAATGGGCCAAAGAGTCACGATTAGGGAATACCTTTTAAAAGAAAGATTACATGCAACTGAGCATCTCCAGACTTCAAAAGAGTTCCTGTTATTTTTACTGGTGACTTCTCAGAGAATCACATTTTATAAAAGCATTCCCTTCTTTTTCCCATTTCTCCAATTAGTCAGAGGGAGATAGTGAAAGTATAGTGAGGACTGATTGGCACTAATCGATCAGAGCTGCATTTTTTGCCATATTCAGTAGGAGCCCTTCACCATGTGTCCTAAGATTTACACATTAACAACCTCTCACTTCCTGGAAATCCCAGGAAAAACTATTTTCTGTTAGTTTTGGCAGTAATTTGCAGGAGTGTGATTCCTGCATTTAATAGGAGTAAAGGAGGCAGTATGCATACAATACATTGACCCACATAATAAGGTAAAGCTTTAAGATATAGTCTGCAGTTAATAAAGTAAATTGAGGAAACTGCTAGAAAGTACTCTCTCAATGTAAATCAGAAAACTCTGCTGAAGTGAACAGAGTCAAGGTCATGCATTCCAGCTTCAGGTCTCTCTGTACAACTCTGGGATTTTTTTTTATTTTTATTTATTTATTTTTTTTACAATCAGGGTGGTGAGGCACTGGCACAGGTTGCCCAGAGAGGCGTTGGTGCCTCATCCCTGGACACACTCAAGGTCAGGCTGGATGGAGCTCTGAGCACGTGATGGAGCTGGAGATGAGTAGGTGTCCCTGCTCACTGCATGGGGTTTGACCAAAGGACCTTTATAGGTTCCATCTAACTCCAACCATTCTGTTAGTCTATGACAACTATCCATCCTACCAATAACACTATAACCAAAGTGGGTTGACTTCCCCTGCCAGGTTCCCCAG